AACTGAGGTTTAGACCAAACATCACCTTCATAGAATCTCTGATATGCTTTAGCACAATTCCATCGATTATGCCAACTCGTTCCACAAACAGAGCCCCAATGTACTTAGGTGTACAACGTCTACGATGAGCTGATCGGTCTATCACAGAACAAGTATGATCTTTCAGATACTTTGTCACCCAGAATGTGTTTGCTTCGTTCTTCACATCCGTTCTAACCATCCAAACGCATCCTTTAACTGAACATTTTGCTACAAACAAAGACGTTGTAGACTTATGTACTTTGAAAGCAAATCTCTTAATAACTGCCATCAATCGCAACTCAGATACAAGCTTCTCCTTGCTAGGAAAACTCTGATTAACAAAGATTTTAGACAACCAACTACTATCCAGTCGATCAAAACCACCACAACGCTCTCTTACACCCTCAATTTCATCCTCATCTTTAACTTTCCCGTACTCACTGTAATCCACATCTGAGTCATCATACTTTTCTTTCATATTCTGATTAACTTCATCTTCATTCAAACTATCAGCTTCATCCTCATTTTTAACGTTTTCATCCCAATCTTCAGCGTCTTCATCCCAATCTTCTTCAGCATCAGAGCACGTATCCGCATGTCCATCCACATCATCATTCTCATGGTCCACTATCCTACTCGAAACACAAAGGCGAACACCATGCATCTTACTTAACTCAATCAAGCTCTGAACATGTCTATCATTTGTGACATACATAGGCGGAGAATCAGGAGGCATTTGTTGAATCATCTGAGGTGGTAAGGGATAGGATAACTCCACCTTTGTTTCCTTTTCCAGCATATAATCCTCTTGCACCATTCCAAGAAGCTCAACATGTGTGCAACCATCTCTTAAGAACAACATCCGCCCTCCTTTGTTATTATCCACCTCGAACTGCCAAAATGATTCAGTCTTACCCCATTCTCCATAAACAGCGGGTATGTGAACCATTCTCTGTGAAAAAAAAAAAACAAATCCAAACCACATTAGACATCAACGTTGCATAAGTAGACTTCTCGCAGGTTAGTTTTGCAATTGCCAAAATATTAGTAGACTTCTCTATGAAAAGTAGACTTCTCGCAGGTCATTTTTGCAATTGCAAAATATTTGACTTTTTGGTCAATTGCAAAAATGACCTGCGAGAAGTCTACTTTCTAAAGTAGACTTCTCGGAGAAGTCTATTTCCGTAAGTAGACTTCTCCGAGAAGTCTACTTTTCATAGAGAAGTCTACTCTGAAAAGTCAAAGGTTGGTCAATTGCAAAAATAACCTGCTTCTAAAGAAGTCTACTCGAGAAGTCTACTCCATTTTTTTTGTTATCAAAGGAAATGGAGTAGACTTCATTCGGACCAAAAGAAGTCTACTTTTTCATGCGGTCAATTGCAAAACTAACCTGGGCGTTGACTAGTAGACTTCATTCGGACCGAGTGAAGTCTACTTTCGGAGCCCATAACTGAAAAACACCAAAATTGACTGAAAATCCGACTTACCACTCGCCTTTAGCTTCTTTTCTGGTCAAGATCTTCGATCCTAGCCACAATGAAAGAAGCACAACCGCAACAAACAACCAAATCGCCGGAATATAGAAATTTTTATGAACTTCAACTTTTTAATAGACAAATTATAGAGTTTTTGGGAAGAAAATAGAGAGGAAATGGAAGAATAGAAGCTTAAAGAGAAAATAATGAGCTCAACAAACTCAAAAATGGGTTGTTGCCACCATTAAAGCTTTAAAATTGGTTAAAAATGGTGGTTGGGTGAATTGATGATGATGACATTTTCGTAATAAGTGAGAAAGATGAGGATTAGTTGGTCAATTGAATTTCCAAAAATAAATAAAATTAATTAAAAACAATGGCAATTTCGTGAATAACTGAAACTATTAGAGATTTTGGACACAAAATGGCAAATGTTGGGAAGGTGATTTTTGTGGGTTATATTTGCAATTCAAATCAAATTTTAGGTCATTTTTGCAAGTATCTCAAAAACAAAAGCAAAAAAAAACATCATGATCTTAAGAAAAAAAAAATATTATTCTCTAAATATGCATATTTTACGACCGCATCAAGATTGGGCAATTCAATAGACGATATAAATATTTTATAAATCAAAAAGAGATCCAAATAGAATTTGAACATGAAAGACCATCAAATACATTTATTATAGATAAAAGAATAAAAAATAAATTAATAATTATCGTGGTTGATTTTGATAAAATAAAAGTGGATAATTAATATGTTGTTGGAATTGTTAAAAATATTGAAATATATAATCTAAGAATATATTAAAAAGATTTTGAAAAAAAAATTATATAAATTCATTATGCTTTTAATAATTTAAAGTTAATAACAAAAAAATTAGATCAAATTAATAATACATATCTGCCCATAGCGTGAATGAAAAAACTTAGTTTGTGAACATAAAGATTGAAGAACGTTTATGCAAAACAATTTATTATAGAATTCAGTTTTTTTTTTTTTTACTTTTTTTCTTTTTACACTAGAAGTAGCTTAGCTATGGGTAAATCAATCTGAAAGGAGAATAGACAGCCTTTCCTGTGTTTTCTCGCTATGAATGTGTCACGAATTGACCTGTCAATCTGATTAAAGAGTGTATTTGGAGGAAAGGATATGTCATTGTGTATTCAGTTACTCTGCTCCATCGAAATTAGGTACACTTGCCTGACAAGCAAGTTTCTTCAGAATCGATGCCTGACTATTGCTGGAGCTAGCGCAAGAGAAGTCACTGAATCATGTGTTCTCAAGTGTGAAAGAGGGGAACATGATAACTGAACCATCGAAGAACATTAGACCAAATCTCAGCCGAGTAAATACAATGGAGAAACATGTGATCCTTGTGTTCCTCTTGAGAAGAACAAAAGGTGCAAGCAGAGTTGATGTTCATACCCCATCGCGGAAGCCTTGCTTTAAATGGAAGCCTGCCCAGATTTTCAGTCCAGAAGTTGAACGCATGTTTTGGAACTCTGTTCTTAAACCACACAACTACCGACCAAGGCTTGACGCTATCAATTGGTTTGAGGAATTTCCAAGTCTTCTTTGTTGAAAAATCATGAGATTTTTTGTTTGGAGTCCCCCAAAGGAAAGAGTCTTCACCTCTAGAAGCATCCAACGGCAGAAATGTTTGCAGAGTGTTACTTAGGGTAGAGATATTGTGATTTTTCGAATGAGAGGGAGCCTGCCAATCATGGGAGGAGAAAGCTTCAGCAACAGTCGCCTGAATAGAGATTCTCATAAGTTTAGGTCCATTGCCTCCCACAAAGGAAATAAGCAGACCATGCGAACACCAATAATCATGCCATAAACTGAATTTCTTTCCGTCACCAACATGACAGCTGAAGAGAGAGAGAGAGCTCCCCAAAGATCTGAGGGATAGAAGAAATTTCCATATCCAAGAGTCAGTACTCTTTTCCTCATCACACCAGAAATTTTGGAGCTTCAACCTGTGTATACACATCCACCCTATCCAAAGAGAACCATTAGATATAAACAACATTCACACAAGTTTGAGGTTCACAGCTTTATTCCAAACCATAAAACTTCGAAGACTAAAACCACCTTCTGATTTTGGCAGATAGTTTCATTTCCAAGAAACTTTCACTAAAGTACGTTTTTCAATGTTGAGCTCAAAGATTTGGGTTACGACCAAGATTAAGCCTAACACGGTGTTGTGGAGCAACAAAATGTTTTTAGCAAGGAATATTAAACAACTCACTTATCCTAAGTTTGATTTCCCGATTTTAGAGTCCAGTTTTTTCATTGACGGGGAGAAGAAAGTTGTCGTGCTTTTTGATAAAGTCAACTGTCGCAATATAGATTACATCATTCGAGTGGATGGATGTTTGAAAGAGATTGATCTCGAAGAATTTGCATACGGATTTTAATACCCAAGTGTGTGCTCTTAAGTTCCAAAGTTTAGTACAACTTAGTTAGTCCATTTACAATACATGTAGTCTATTTCTTGATGTGTCATCTCTTTTAAACAAGACTACAATAACCAAGTTGTTTCTCATCCTGCTTTTTGTTTGCTATATTTGACTTCATCCACACCGCCGGATCTCTTATTCTCTTTGTTTGTAAACAACAAAACTGAACGCTGCGACTAAAATCGGAATAATCAACTCCATTCCGCTTGTATTATTTGATCGCACCTCGTTGCCGTAGCGGCAGGCAAACGAACAGGCGTTGCCTTATTTCGTTGTTACTGATAGAGCAAATAGACAGAATCAACTGAAAACAAACGAATATAAATATATCTAATAATCTATAAAGTTCCATAGTTTATGCAAAATCAATTGGCGTTTTTCTGATTTGAAGTCCAAATTAAAAACTGAAGTTGATTTCCTAAACTGATTTCTTTTTTCTTTTTTTCTAGATTTTTTTTTTAAATAAACAGTGAATTGTATAATTTGCTAAACAAAATTTTATATACTGATATATTTTTACCGTGATACGTATCAAAATTTAATCGATTGTATTAATTAACAATTTTGATTGCATCGAACTGTATTATTTGGTGACAATGTGATCCGGTTTGTTCCACATCAATTCAATGGAATCAAGGGTATATAAGTCAAATTTTCAAATCTTTTCTTTTCTTGCAAAATCATTCAAAGGGGTTCCACCAAAAATCCCATCGTTCCGACTTTCGAATAAACAAACAAAACCACGAAACGTATCCGTATTCATTCACCACAACGTGTCAGGTCAGGCTCAGCGTACTATTTAACTAATACATATATATATATATATATAATGATTAAAAATATATACATTATCTGGTTCAAAAATTTTGGGAAAAATCCCCAATATTTGGAATTACAATTCATTAAGCTTTTTTCACTTTGTAATTGGATCTTTGATTTTCATGAACACTTATTCGGAGAGAAGACAAAAACACAAAGTAGCATCCTCCAATGAATGTATGCCCCCTAAAATCTCTCATTTCCATTTCTGGCAAATCTTCTTTGTCCACATCAAAGTAAATTAATCAATAGACTTATCCAAATCACTAAAAAGCAAAACATTTTTTCTTATGGAGAAAAACATAAAGCCCCAAAAATAGTCGACTGCATAAAAGCATCCTCAAGCTTCAGCTACGATTGATCACAACTGTTCTCTTCTCTCCTTTGCTTCTTCAACTTTGAGCCCTAACGTTTCCACTTTGGGAAAGTTTTGACAAAACCCCATCTTCAAATCTTTTTTTTTTTTCATCACTACACAAATCTCTGTTTATAATCTCAAAACTCTTCATTCTCTGATCACTCTCTCCTTGATTTTGTTTTGTTCATATATAAAATGGATTATAATCCTCCAACTCCATTAGAGGGTCTCAGAGAAACAGGACCAACACCTTTCCTGACAAAAACCTACAACATAGTGGAGGATTCAAGCACAAACAACATAGTTTCATGGAGCAGAGACAACAACAGCTTCATCGTCTGGGAACCAGAGACTTTTGCCCTTGTCTGCCTCCCCATATACTTTAAGCACAACAATTTCTCCAGCTTTGTTAGACAACTCAATACCTATGTGTGTATTTTCTTTTTTTTCATTTGTTAAGTTATAGATCGATCAATTATCATAATCTGATGAAAAAACTCGGATTTTGAGTTCTGAGCCTGCTAAATCCGTTTGGTTCTTTAGTTTTTCCTAATAAATTTATATTTCAATGATTTGTAGGGGTTTAAGAAGATTGATACAGAGAGATGGGAGTTTGCAAATGAGTATTTTTTGAAGGGACAGAGACATCTCCTTAAGAACATAAGGAGAAGAAAGACATCATCTCAAACGCAAACGCAGTCGCTAGAGCACGGTAGATTCGGACTAGAACGAGAGATCCAGGGGATGAGAAGAGACAGAACCGCTCTAGTAACAGAACTGGTGAAGTTGAGACGAAAACAGGAAAGCATCAAGACATATCTTCGTTTGATGGAAGAGAAACTGAAATTGACAGAGACTAAGCAAGAAATGATGATGGATTTCTTGCTGAACAAGATTAAGAAACCGAGTTTTTTGCAGAGCTTAAGGAAACGTAAGCGGGAAGAAATCGAGAACATAGAACAAATGCAAGAGATTTTCTCAAGCCATGTGGTTGAGGACCTTGAAACGTTTGTTAAAGCTGAGCCGGAAGAGTATGATACTGGTGATCAATTTGAAGTTGTGTTTGGCTATGGCGATGAGCTTCACGTAGCTTCAGTGGAGGATCAAAGACAAGATGGGGTTGAGATGGAGATGGATAGTGATGGGATTTGGAAGGAATTCGTGTTGACTTTTGAGTGAGGAGATGTGTACTGTTTTAGGGGAACATTTGATATAGTTTTATTAAATTATACTAGTATTTTGGGAGTTTTTATTTATTTTCGTATTCAACTTGACACGCACGTTACCATAATTAATCCAATGTTACATGTCTTTTTTTTTGAACAAGTACATATATGTTACTTGTCACAGTCAATACTTTTTGAGTTTATAACTGACACACATACTACTGGATTTTAACTTGGATTATGAGTTACAACACGATAAGAGATCATTTTCAAAGTTTAAGAGATCGTTTTAATTATACTCGTCATGTAGTAGAAATACAGTTGTATTGTTTTGTTATCGATGACTCTTTGTTGTATTTTTATTTATTTAACCAATTGAATCTTCTTCTATCTACATGTACCGAATGAGATTCAATAGTGTTTCTTGGTCACTATTGAATCGTTTTCCCTTTCTGTTGGAAAGATTTGTCAAAGGAGAATACTGTACTTGTCATTTTAATTTTTGGGATGCTATAGGCAACTAATTTGGGCTGAAGTAAAAGCCCAAAAAAGTAGGGCTCTCGAGATTTATCAAGAAACAGATTCGGCCACATTTGATTTTACTTCAAAGATGTATCAACATTTACTCCTTTTTTTTGTAGTCACTTTTTTCTTCTAAGTTTAGAGTTCTAACCATAAAATATATACATTTGTTTACAAAACAATATATTTTACATTGCTTTCACACAAAAAGGAGTAACATTTTATCATATGACTCGAAACAACAAAATATTTAATATATAGTGAATTCACAAAAAATATTTAAATTTAAGTCGGTTATACGTTTCAATCGAAACGCGTGACAAATCCACCGTTGGATTGACTTTTCTGAAGGATCGTTGCCTCTTCTGTTCTCCCATGTGGTTTTTCCTCGATTTAATTTATTTCTTTTATAATTAAGAATATAGAGTGCACGTACTCGCCACGTCATATTCGTGACTTTATTTTTAAAATCTTATCCTCTTTCGTATTCGTACCATGGGATTCCCCCACAAATAAAAGTACAGTATTTATAAACGCTAATAAATAAATGATTCCGCTATCTTAGGAATTTATTTCACTAATTAGCGAGAACTCTGTAATAAGTACAGCAATATCGTTACTGTAATTACAAAACTGGTAAGAAATAATAGTGTAGATAATCTTTTAGATATGATTAAATTCTTGGGCTATTTAATAATTGATATCACATCACCTCAAAAATTCGGCATGTATTTTGTAATTAACTCATCATATATAAACGTTACTATTTACTATCCACAAACAGTTATTACATTTTAAAACTATTAGTAACATTGCTATAAATTACGCTAGTATTTATCCAAACAATTGCTATCATTAATTGCTTAGACACAAAAAAGCTATAAATTGCATAATCAAGGAAATAACTTATGTAAAATCAAAGTTCAAAAAAAAAAAAAAACTTATGGAAAATCAGATAATTTTAGGTTCCCTTAAGAAAAAAAATCAAATCCCAATAATCATCTACTAATTATACTGAAAGGGGGTAATCTCCGAAACCGTATCCTCCCTTATGATGACAGGTGTTTATAAAGCAAGGGCAAAATCAGAAATACACATCACCTACAAGATTCCTTTATAGCCTTCCCGGTCTTTCTCTCTTTTCCCTCATCAGTCTGTAACTTTCTTCTCGTTTCTCTCCATTTTTCTTTTCGCAAATCCAAAAATCAGAATCTCTCTCGCCGAGAAAAAATGCTCGCTGTTTTCGAGAAGACGGTGGCGAATAGCCCTGAGGAACTACAGAGTCCACACTCGACTGTTCCGTCTTACGCTTTGAAAGAAGGATATCTAGCGAGTCAATTCGCTTCCAAACATACAAACTCCGTCACGCTTAACCTCGGATCATCGGGACTGCTCGCTTACTCTCTCGATAACCGTGATCCGCTTGTTCCGAGGTTAAATTACAAGTTTCTTCCTCTCTTGTGTCTGTGATTTTGATCTAGTGAATCGTTGCCTCTTTAATATGTTGAAGTGGTTTTGCTGTTTTTCTCTACATTTCTGTTTCGATTTTGTAGTTTTATGGAATCGAATCGATTAGATTTGTGATAATGATTAACTCATTTTGTTATCTCGCTGATGATTTACTTGAATTGACTTTTTTTTCCCTTTGCGATCTCGGATTTATCGTTTTTGTGTTTTGCTTGTGATGGTGCTAAGTTTGATGACGATGACGAAACTTTCTTGAGCTATTGTTATGCTGTTTTCTGGAATCGAATCGGTGACATTTGCGACAATGATGAACTAATTTGCTATCTCGCTGAAGATCTAGTATTTACCTTTTTTTGGTTTTGCTTGTGATGTTGGTAAGTCTGATGATGATGACGATAAACGTTCTCGAGCCATTTCTAGAATCTGGAACTAGTAGAGGTTTCTGTCACCGATTTAAGAAGAGATCTAACACTAGATTTAAGTAAGTGTGGCTTTTGGTATCTTTCGTAATGTAATTTTTTAGGCGTTTCTTCTTCAATCTTGAACAGATTATTTGCGGTTGTGGATGACATCTTCTGCATCTTCCAAGGTCACATTGAGAACCTTCCGTTTCTGAGACAACAGTATGGGCTGAGCAAAATCACAAACGAGGCCATCATGGTGATTGAGGCTTACAGGACTCTACGTGATCGTGGTCCTTACCCTGTCGACAAAGTTGTCAGAGATTTCCTTGGGAAGTTCGCCTTTATCCTCTTTGATGGCACCAAGAAAACAGTCTTCGCTGCTTCTGTAAGAAGATTAGAGCATATCCACATTCTTGATCTCAAATGTTCATAGTCAATTCATCTTGAATGTTTATCGAATTTGTTTGCTTTTTGTCGATTTGCAAGGACGCCGATGGAAGTGTGCCCTTCTTCTGGGGAAATGATGCTGAAGGACACCTTGTTCTTTCTGATGACACATCGTTGTTGAAGAAAGGCTGCTCCAAATCTTTTAGTCCTTTCCCTAAAGGTACTAACTTTCTCCCAATTGTTTGTAAACCCATAAACAATATATGAACTCAAAATTGAATTTTGGTCTAAGTCTTTGGTTTGGTGTTTTGAAGGTTGTTTCTTTACATCATCGGGAGGATTAAGGAGCTTCGAGCACCCGAAGAACGAGCTAAAGCCAGTGCCGAGGGTTGATAGCTCAGGAGATGTGTGTGGTGCGACCTTTAAGGTTGATGCTGAGGCTAAGAGAGATGGAACCAAAATGCCAAGAGTCGACAGCTCTCACAACTGGGCCGGTCATATCTAAACCGGGAAATGATTACAGAAAGCACAAAAGCTCTCAAGCATCTTCTTGTCCCTTCCTTCTGTGTTTCGTTACTTGTTTGAGTTACATTGAGACTATAATGTAGTTTCACACCACAATGTTCTCTATATCTCTCTCTTCTCTCTATTGCGTTTCTTTGCACATGTTTAAGGTTTGGGCTTTGGGAAGGAGGTTGAGTTTTGTGGAACTTTATAAACATGAGACGAGACTTTTGTTTCGTTTAATATAATGAAAATTTTTCCCATTGACTTACCAATGTTGTTTTCTTTGTTTGCGACTCTGCATTTCTCAAATCCATAATACAATAAAATAAAAAGCTTTTGTTTCGGCAATTGATTTATGTGTTTTGGCATTTGAAATAAAAAATTGTACTTTTTCCGTTTTCTTTTATAAGATGTTTTAGAAAAAAATTTTGTTCATAATTAGATGATGTTTTCAAAAATCAATGCAAAAAGTAATTGTTTTAATTGTTTAGATTTTATATATTATATTTCTATTGGTTGAATTATTTTGGAAATGATGTTTTATTTTGGAAAAAGAGAAAATTAAATAATTTCTTAATATATGTGCAAAACCTTAAACATCTTATATAAAAAAACAGAAGGAATATATGTTTCACTCAAGGAAAAATATTATATGTTTCAGTTAAAGGAAAATTAATTTTTAATTTTATGCTGAGACTGAATGATCCTTTGTTTCTTATGTAGAGGAAATGTAGGAAGAATCGGACCATTTGGGATAAAGAATTGTTATGTTTAAAGTGTCAAATTGGTTTGGTACGTTTTATTTTTCACTTAGTATATGTTCACTCAACGGAAAATATTATATGTTTCATCTAGAGGAAATGTAGGAAGAATCAGACCATTTGGGATAAAAGAATTGTTATGTTTAAAGTGTCAAATTGGTTTGGTACGTTTTATGTAATGTTTATAAAGAATGTGGGTTCGTTGTCGTGGATGAACACGTGCTTCATTATTGAAGATGAGTAGTGTTTATATAATAGGTCTGTTCGTTTGGTTACCGCTTGCGACTGTCATCGCAGCGATAATATTACCGCAAGTTGTTGTTTGTTTTGCAGCCATTACCGCAGGTCACAGCGCTATAACAACAAATTGTTATGCATTTTGAATTTAAAACCTTCAAATCAAAATCTGCTGCTTTCTTTTAGTTTACTTGCTTTACATTATTTATTCTTAGCTTAATTTGAATCTAGAATCTGTTATGGGGTTTTTTGAAGTCTTTTGAGATTTCGATACCCTTTATACTACATCTGTTTTGCTGTGCACTTGCGGTAGTTTTATTTAGGTGAAACTTTGAGCTTATCATGAGATGAAAATGATCTCATCAAAATGTGGGTTTAGATGCAAGGGTTTCTCTAAAAAAAAGTGAACTTAGGCATAATGCTAAAGGTAAAACATAACTTATGCATTCAAGGACAGATTACTATCTACCCAATACCTAAGTTGTTTTAAACCCCAAAATTTTTAACCCAAGCTAAACCCAATTCTAGCTACCCTTTTTTCAACACTTTTCCTTCACTCTCCACAGTTGATCATCTTTTTAGGGAAACTTCTTATTTTAATCTCACCATGTTGTGGCCTTCTTTGTGCTTCTTTGTTGTGGGCACCTTCTTTTTGTAGTGAGGAGTCTCCATTGCTTCATCACTTTGATACATTAGGCTTTTGTGCCTTCTTTGTTGTTGTTGCTGAGACTCCATCTTCATAATGGCCACCCCTTTTTGAGCTTATTTGGTTCCATACATGCTGAACTTTTGCTTGTCCCCTCTTTCTAAAACCTTTTTCCCTTTTTTTTTTTCTTTCACTCTCTTCTTTTAGATCAACATAAAACTCAAATCCGCCCCAAACTATAAGTATATAACTACCATCCTAACCTATGTCTAACTCAAAGTGAAGAGTTAGTTCTACATAGAAACCAATTTTTGTAGTGCCAACCCAACACTTTGTGCTTAGTTCTCTCAAAAGAGGTCTCACACTCACAAGATAGTGTTTATGCTTGAAAGGAGGGTAAGGTTAATGTGTGGTAACTGTCCTTTAATGGTGAGGATTAGCTATTTGGACTACCAAGAGTAGTAAAATGGAAGAAAGAAAGTCCAAATATGTATATGGGTAATCCATGAAACCACTTTTCATTGCAAAGACATGATAATTCTCAAGTCAAGATTATGGTTCTGAGAAATAGAGATGATTTTCAATGAGCAAATGATTTCAGCATGAGACAAGAGAATTTAATTTAGCATTCAAAACATGGTTCAGCCTTAGTTTCTAACTTTTCATGATGCATCAAACACTTAACCACATAGACATTAAAATAATTCCTAAGCACTTAGCATTTTACGAGGAATTATCATCATTGTACCCTATGCAAATGCAATGCAGCCTATATGAAAACATTAGACTCAATCTTAAACACATGAATGCAACTATATGATTTTCTTTTTGGGTTGCAAAAATGCAAAAAATTTCAATTTTTTCAATTTTTGTGGTTTTTATATGCTCTTAGATGAATGCATGAGACTCAAATGCAAAGAAAAACTAAGAAAAAATAACACAATGTCGAATACACAAAGCCCTCCCACACACTTAAATTACACAGTCCCATTGTGTAATAAAAGCTGAGAGAGAGATGCAAAAACAAAGATAATATGTAAAGCTTAAAATGGTATATACAATGGAGGAGTTTTTGGTACCTTAGAAGATGTGTTTGAAGGTGTAGGAGGCGCCTGAAAGGTCCTCCATAATGTAAATGTTGTGGCTCATATTGGGCCTCTCCCTCCTTGTGTTTCTTCTCCTTCTTGGCGCATCTTGAGCAGAAGCTCTTGGTGGTACCCAAGCTCTTATCTCCTCATAACCAACAAAAGAGCGCCTTCTACTAGGTGCTCTAGCCATCCCTTGGCTTTCAGCTTCTTGCTCTTCTTGAGGAACAGAACTAGAGGCTCCACTTGACTTCGTCTTAAGGTCCTTGATCTATGTCTTTATGCTCTTCATTCCTCTCACCAACTTTTTGATGGTTTTATCTTACCATTTGTTCCATCTTTGCAAGAGGTTGATGTGTTCATGAACTTTCTTCAAGAGACCTCCTTGTTGTGACAAATCATGAGGTTGGTAATGGTACTCCTCACTGTTGTATCTTGGAGAATCGGATTCTCCTTATTCTTGTACTCCTTCTTCCATTTGTCCTCCTTCATAAACAACACGAGGATAGTTTCCTTGAGGAAGAGGAATGTTGGCGCCTTGGTGATGTTGAGAGAATGAAGCGCCTTCTTACTAGAGCAAGTGCTGGGGAATGAGAAAACCTATGCTGTCTGGATTGGAGAAGGATGTTAGATGCTGTTTTGGTAGGAGCACCTTTGCAGCTGTGCCATCTTCTTGGACAAAGTTGTAGATGAACTTGTCACATACATTTTCTCCAAGGAACCTTGACTTCTTCAGATATTGAATATCCAACCATTCCACCTTGGCTGTTGGTGGTCCTAGCTCAACTCCTGCAACTTCCATCAATGAAGAGACAATCCCTACACAGTATTTGGTGCCTTATCATCATTGGTTGACATCCAATGCTTGATGACAAGAAGCTGATGCATGAAGATGGTGGCAATTCCAGTTGTTGCATCTGTTCCCTTAAGCTCCACTCCTTGTTTTGTGTAGTCCAAAATATTAATCAAACTTTGGTTAATGAGCTCCCATTCGCCACCTTTAACAGCGTCACTTTCCCTTCTTGCAAAGAGACTATGCGCCAAGATCTTATGCACATATCTGATGGCTGGATTCCTTATCAAAGAAGCCTTGTTTCTTCCTGGTTTGTAGGCGCCTCTTGCTACATAATCCCAAAGGCTGATCATCTTATCTTTGCCAATCCACAAATTCTGCCCTCTTGAGCTTCAATAAGTGAACATAAAAGCTTCTTCATTGGCTGAGAAGGATATCCTATAATTCCCTCTTGAAACTCTGAATGTGATGAAGCCATCACCATCATCTTCAGGAGTCTCCTCTCCAAATTCATAGAAGGTAACTTCAAAAGTTGCAAAGAACTGAAGCACTTGCTCTTTGTTGGCTGTATGAGGGTTTCCCACAAGCTTAGACAGCCATTGCCTCTAGGAGTGATTCACAATCCTCATGTATCCCCAAGCTCTTCATTGTTGGTACATGGAGATACCTTGAAGGCCTCACATCCACCTTTTAGAACATATCATAGAGCTGTCTTTGGGCAGGAGTGGTTGAGCTTTTCTTCTTAGGCAAGACCTTCTTTTTCCCTTGGGCCTTAGCGCTAGGACTTCCCACTTCTTTAGCCTTTCCCTTGGCTTTCTCATGCTTCTCCACCTCCTTGTTAGCGCCACTTCTAGTTGTTCTTCCCATGGTACCTGATGGACAAAATTCTCAAAACAAAAATGAGAACCATGGTTTGAACAAAAGATAATGCTTAATATTACTAAATTCACAAAAAGGAGGAATTTATTTATTTAAAATGAAGTAAACTTCTGTCAGATGTGAAGCTACTATATAAGCAAAGCATGCAAAGGATTCTAAAAAAAATTATCTATAAATAGAAAAACATGAATCCTAGCATGGTGAAGCTAAACAATGGATGATATATGCTAATGCAATGTAAAACTATGATTTTAACAAGCAAATAATCAACAATTTAAAATGCTTCAAAGTCAAAAACAAATTTTCACCATGCAAAAACAACAAAACTAAACCAAGAAGCAACAATCTCAAACTAAACTTGTAACAAATTAAAAAAAATCAATCCTTAAGTGATGTACACAAACATTACACAATTAAAAGGCTAAAAGACAATACCTGAAGTGGTTTGGCTCTCCTAAGCACTTAAGAACTAATGAATTTCGAATTTTGTGGTTCCAAAATAAAGAAATGAGAGTGAGGGAGAGAGAGAGAGAGAAGAGAAGGGTGGGTTTATATAGAAAGTGAGAAAATATTTTGTTTGTTGGGAACAAGGGGACAATGAGTGCTTAGGAGAGGGCCCACTAGTGCTTGAGAAGGAAGAGGATTCAAATTTGAATTCTTTGATCTAGTTTGACCAAGACGGGAAACAATTCGAAGTGGATACCACTTACCTCGACGGGAATATCGAGCTGCCAAACCGATACACTGGTCGATATTAACCATATGGGCTTAGTTTGCTTGATATTCATGTCGATATCGGGGGTCTGGACGCTTGTATCGGTCGATACGCATGTTGATATTGTCCTGTGTCTCACGTATCGACTCCCTGGTACCTCGATGCATTATCCGATATTCATTTGGACTGTCTGATATCGAGCAGTGTAGCTCGATACGTAGCCGGTATGATC